ATATGAAAGAATGAAGATACACTATGGAAAAATCTTGGCCAAATAATCTAAGATCAGACTCTAAATTTTGTCACTTTTAGAAAAAAAATCCCATACTTTAAGTCAATTTTAATAAGATAAACAAGAACATGTTTCTATTGAATCCATTTGAATTGCCTGTAAGGAAAACAATCTCTATAATAATTAATCTAGAATGATTTGCACATTAAACTTTGGGTCTTGGAAATAGGTAGTTTTGAAAGAAAAGGGCTTTAGTTGGTAAAACTAATTTTCCTCTGGTGCACTGTTTACTTGCTTAACTTATTATGCAAGTATTTTATTATGTCTCTAACATTTAGACATATCTTAAATGCAATAAAGCACCAGACTTGTTTTCTCAATAGCTTGAACATCTCCTGCTAGGTGGCAAAATCACCGCAATGGAACACAAATATTTAACAAAGGGTACAGCAATGTTTAATTACCACTTCAAAAGATTGCTTCAAATTGAAACCATTTCCTATTCCAGTGGCATTTGGGTTACCTTTATTTGTTTGGGGCTATCCACTTTGTCTAATTTTAATAAAATTCACCCAAAGGACTAAAAACATCTCTTTGAAAGCAACTGGAAGGCATTGGTTATATAAGATCTTATCTTGACAATGGCAAGTACTCAGGAAAGGTATATTGAGTTAGATAGAATATGTTAGAAAGGGAGTAGTAGCATGGGCATATTTCATTGAAAGAAAAGTCTCATCCAACTTTATAAGAAGTACATTAACAGGCTTCCTCAATTGATTGATAATAAGAAAACTCCCAAAGATGTAAATCAACAAACCAATTATTATGTTGCTAAGAGCCAACATAATCTACAATGTTGGAGCCATCCTTGAGCTAAAATAATCACTTTGTATTTAGTACTGTGTATTATGTAGGAGCACTTAATACATAGCAATGCAAAGCATTGTCAATATTTCTCAGAATACATTTCTTTGATCACCTAGGATTGAGATACAGTTCTATTTCAATCCATTCATTCAGGAAGTATCTAAGTGTTAGAAGCACTGGAGCTAGTGGTGAACATACAAGACAGAAGTTCTTATTTATCCTGGAACAAAGTTTCTGTAAGGTCTGCCCCAAGGCCATGCAGACCCAGTATAGATACCTCACTACCTCTATCACCTGGGTAACTGGCACACCAGGAAGCAGTCACCTCCCTCTCCTGCTAGGTCACATCCTGGGCCACCCATGGTCATGCCTCCCATCTGACCATAGGAGGGTTCCCGGCCCTGAGGTCACATCCAGATCCAGTGTGGCCACACCTTTCCCCCATCTGGCCACACCTCTTCCTGTCCCTGGCTTAGATAAGTCCTGGCCTGGGGGTGGGTTTCCCCTTTTTGGCCATGCCTCTGCACTATTCATGGCAGGGACAACAATTTGGTAAATACACTTTTTTTTCCTGCCTGAATACTGTGTGGTGTTCTCTTCATCAGCTACCTAATGAAACCTACCTATTTAATATACCTTACAGTTTCTAGTTGGAGTGGAGAAAACTTAGACAACACATAAATAAGATACATAGGAAAAATTAAGCAGGAAGAGGGTGTGAGGTGTTGATGAAGAATTAAGAATGCAGAAAGGGAGCTGGGCACTGGTGGCTCATGCCTATATTCCTAGCTACTTAGGAGGCTGAGATCTGAGGATTGAGGTTTGAAGTCAATCCAGGCAGAAAAGTTCCCATGAGGCCCCTATCTCCAATTAACCATGCATAACCCAACAGTGGCACTTTGACTCAAAGTGATAGAGCACTAGCCTTGAGCAAAAGATTTCAGGGACAGCACCTAGGCCTTGAGTTCAAACTCCATGACCTACAACTACAACAAATACAGGAAGGGGACTTCAAGGAGGATTTGGAGAAAGTGAAGGTACAAGTCAGGCTGATATCTGAGAGAATGATGATAGCAGATACAAAAATTGTTAATCAAGAATTTCAAGGAACAATGATTTGGCTAAAGGTGACAAATGATAGGGTGTAGAGAACAGTCACAAGAATGTATCCATTGAGAGAAATGGAAAGAGATTAGGGTTTTGATCAGAGAAGAGATGTGACCAGGCCTCAGGTTAGTGGGAGAAGTTGTTGGTCCTGAGGTTTAAAACCAGGACTTTGCACATGCTAGGCAGAGGCAGGCACTCTACCATGTAAACCATTCCTCATTTTTTTTTGTCAGTCATGGGGCTTGAACTCTGGGCCTGGGTGCTGTCCCTCAGCTCTTCAGCTCAAGACTAGCTCTCTACCTCTTGCGCCACAGCACACTCCCAGTTTTCGGGTGGTTAATTGGAGAGAAGGGTCTCCAGACTTTCCTGCAGTGGCTGGCTTTAAACTGTAATCCTCAAATCTCAGCCTCCTGAGTAGCTAGGATTACAGGCATAAGAACCACAGGTGCCCAGCTACCATCCCTATTTTTTTTGTGTATCAGTTTTGGGGCTTGAACTCAGCCCAAGCTGAGTCTCAAGCCTTTTTTGCTTTATCACTTGAGCCACAGCACCACTTCCAGCTTTTTCTGTGTATGTGGTATTGAGGAATCGAAGCCAGGGCTTCATGCATGCTAAGCAAGCACTCTACCACTAGGCCACCTACCCAACCCTATCCTTCATTTTGTTTTATTTTCCAGGTAGGTCCCTCATTGCCTAGGAGTAGAGCCTAGACTGTGATCCTCCCATACTGCTGGGACAGTAGTATATTTGTGTGTAACACCGCAGCCAGCTAACTGGTTGACATGGCCTTATATATAACATTTTGTCCTGATTGGCCTTGAATTGTGATCCTCCCAATTTCTGCCTCCCAAGTCGCTGGGAATACAGATAGGAGCCACTGTGTTTAGCCCAACATCATAGGTTTTAACATGTTTACTCAGGTTGTTCTGGGACAAATAGCAGTTGAGCAAGGACAGAATCAAGAAGAACTGATTTGCTTGAAAAGACAGCTTGGAATCTGTATTTTTAACGGAATCTCTCAATGATTTACAGACATTGTTAGGGTGTTCTCTTCCATTTTGACTTAACAACTGCCATCGTAGGTCCACAGCCCTTTCCCTGAAATCAGGTGACCAGACCAGGCCTGGCCACCATCATTAATTCCCACACATCTGTGTCTGATTCGCCTCCAGTTGCAGCAGTGGAATGCCTTCCACCCAAACCTAACTGCAAAAGTTGCAATCAGTAAACCAGGCCCTGGCTACATGTTATCTTTGGCCCTGCCTACAACTGCAGAGTACTCCCCGCTCCTAGTCTAAAGATGCCCCCTTTGGACAGAGACACACGTGGCACCCAGCCCAAAAGGCACAGCCTTGTTAGCTTGCTGACAATAAGCTTTGCTTTGGTGACTTCGTTTCCTTGTGGTCCTCTGGGCTGGAGCTTTCAGACATAGCAAAATTTAAGAACTATGACCTAAAATCATGTAAGCATTTAGACGATTGACTTTATCATCTCATTAGTTGGTCATTGCCAACCTACCACATTATTTTGCCTGTAGAGAAACTGGGTCTAAGTCATTTGGACTAAAATCAGCTATCAGGTTCTCCATTTGGCCATCCATTCGCCAATCAGAGCTCAGGAAGGATGTTAGCCCTGGGCTCTGTAGCCTAAGACACCCTCTGAGAGAGAAGGGAGCTTCTCTCCTTCCCCTGCAGAGCTAATGCAGCCACAGTGTAATGTACGGATGCAGGCGCCAGGGACCAGATTTCAGCATTCTCTTAAATACATCCCGTGACCCATTTTTTTCTTTTTTAAGATGTTTATTTTCTGTCAGGTATGGTGGTGTATGTCTGTAATCCCAACACTCAAGGGACTGAGTCAGGAGGCTAATATGAGCTGCAAAGCATGATCTTGTCTCAAAAAGGAAAAAGAAAAGAGTTTTGCTTTCCTTTTAAATTGGAATAAGTTAGCACTTGTGTATATATATGACTGTGTAGATTCTAAATTGATATATTCTATAAATCGTAAATGCATATATTCTACAGTGTATATTCTATACATAGATATATACATGTATGGAAATATATGTATAGAGAAATGTATATCCAAATAAAGCTCATGATTTGTGCTTCTTTTTTAAAAATTATTTTATTTCATTTAGTCAGTTGTGAGGCCTGAACACTGGGCCTGGGCACTGTCCCTCAGCTCTTCAGCACTTGAGCCACAGTGCCACTTCTGGTTTTTTCTGCTTATGTGGTGCTGAGGAATCGAATCCAAGGCCTCATGCATGCAAGGCAAGCACCCTACCACAAGCCACCTTCCCAACCCAATTTATGCTTCTTAATATACTAATGGTAATTTACTTTAACAAAGCTTCAACAATGTTTTGGTTAGGCACCACTGGTCACCCCCTCAGACCTGAAGGATTGTGGATCAAGGCCAGACTGGATAGAAAAGTTCCCTAGACTATCTCCAGCAGAAAGCTGGAATAGAGTGGTGAGTCAATAGTTTCATGCCATTCTTGCATATCTGAAGTCCTGAGTTCAAAACCCAGTATTGTCAAAAGAATCCACTGCAAGCATTTTTGATGAATCCTTAATAATAAATAGCATTTGAGTCATACACTTCATAACTGAAATACCATGCATAAAAAGTTATCACTTCCATATTCTATGGGTAGAAAGATTCTGAACTAACCACTGACTGATTGATTTTGAATTTTTGGAGATTTTGTTTCTCTATTTATTTGACTTTTTTGGCTCCAATAAAAACCAAAATTTAAAATTTTCAAGAGGCACATAGATATATTAAAGTAGATTTGCTGAACCAATGATTTACTTTTCACAATAGCATTTCATACCGTAGCTGTTTTTCTTGGCCACAATTTCCGTAAGGCATCATCATTAAGGCCTGATGCAATGTAAAATTTTTACAAACACACATAATAAAATATTTTTTAAAGCATTCATTATGATCTGTTGCCTAGGTGTAGATTATTCTTTTGATAGAGTACTGTGAACTGGTTAGAAATAAAGGATGTTGATTACCTTCTCCAATAGAAGAAGCTTCTAGGGGTTGAAGTTTAAGTCCAGTGTCTATTTTTTGAGGCTTTGTATAGAGAAACAAATAACAAAGAACACAGACGCTGATGACAAAGGCCAGTAAAACAAGGGCAGCAATTCCCAATCCGATCAGAGCACCAATGCTGAGGAACATAGAAAACAATCATGTCATGCAAACTGGTTTGCACAAAAACCAAAGGCAGGGGCTAAAGATTGATTCTTGTTCTCAACTAGTCATAACCAAATTATATCTTAACATAACTAATAAATAATTGAAATCTGCAGCAAATTTTTTCTTACCGTCAAATTCTTATTATATTTTCTCTAAAAGTTTTCAAGACCCTTTTAGATTTATATGTTAATATTAGTAAAAATGCCATGTGAATTCATCATAAAGGTAGAAGGTCAAATGATGGTTCAAAAATACCTGTTATGTAAACCTCCATCATTGCTGTACCTTAAAAAGAAAAATTCAAGTTCACCAATAATAGATTAATAGAAAAACATTTGCTGCAAAAATGTTGGGAAACAAATATTTATTGGAAATGTAAAACTTTTCTTTTGGAGACATATATATGAGATACCATTTATTGATCTACAAAACCACAATCTTTACCAAAAAAAGGTTTGGTTAAAGGAAAACTTGTGAAATACAGATGAAGTACATGTTCAGTTTGAGATCTTTCTGTCTAGAAGAACATAACATCGAAGGCTTCTAGTATTCGAAAAGAAACTCTTGTGCTTTTATCCAAAATTAAGGTGCATACACCATTATATTTGCTCTGTGCTTAATTTGTAATAAATAATTTCATGAGCTTACCAATAAGGCTAATCATTTGAGAAGCAATACAGTTTTTATAGAAAATCCATGAACTTAGTACTACTAAATGAAAAAAGGAACTTGAAAAAAAAGCATCACTACTAATGCAAAGATATGCATCTTTTGTGTGTATGTGTGTATGTGTAAATATATATAATTAAATATATAGATTAGATTTGAAGCTGCGCAAACTGAGACATTTCAATTAACTTTCCTACTGTTTCCTATTATGTTGTGCACAAGTATTAGAAATGCTCACATTCTTAACCTGTAGAAAAATTTCATAAGTGGAAGGAAATACTAATTGCTTTATGATTGATCAAACTGTTATCATTTGGAACACAGCATCATTGAAAAGTAATGTTCCTTTTTTTTTTTTTTTACTCTTTCTGGTTTCCTTTAAGGCTCTTTCTCTCTCCCAGGGTTTAGGGCCTAACTAACTTGACTTGTATCAAAGGAGGGAAAGAGGAATTTGATCAAGTATGTTAGGAAGTATGTTAGGAGAATGGTATTGAAAAATGAAAGGCTTGATTTGATGAGAGAAAGCACCCTTACAAATAAGAGATTGCTTCTTGAGCTACAAGATGAAGGCAGACTTCTAGAGGTTTTTGTGCTTGGTTTTATTAACATTGCCCCGCACACAAGTGAAGACTGGGTGCTTGTATGGCAGAACCAGATCAGAGTTATATATTTTAATCTGAGGCTGATGTGAGCTGGTGTACTTTCCTTTAAGGTGATAGACTATCTGTGTCTGACCGTGCACTAAGGGCAGCCAAGGTGCACCCATGCTATTTCTGTAGATCGTGGCATGGAGGGTTAAGATGGCTTCACTATACACACTGAAACGTGAGAATGCAACCCAGTTAATATTATTTAGTGTACAAAGCAGATAACAGATTAAGATATCTGGATATATTCCTGAAACCAGAACCCCACTTATTTAAAAAAATCTACAAAGTAAAAAAAAAAAAGTGACTCAATTAACAAGTGAAATTGTCAGCCTAATTAAATTCAACACACATACTGTGAACTTTCAATGTACAAATTAAGAATCCAGGACATGCAACTGAAAAGAAAACAGAACCAAAGCATGCTATGGCCTTTTTTACCCCTTCTTGTTGTTATAAAAGGAAAAGACTCATAATCTAGACAATGTTTCAGTGTCAGCACTCCATGTAACAGAAACGCTGCTTTATACATGCAAAAGTCTAGGTATCGACTCTTAGTGGAGGTAGACCTGTAGCTGTCTCCCAAAATACCCATTTGAACAAAGTTATTGAGCATCTATTTAAGCTTACCCTTCTCTAACAGGCATGATCTTTCCAAGATCTTAGAGAAAGCTGCCAAAGGAAATCCTAAGAATGTAGAGATTTGGGGGAAGAGAAGAAATGGGAGTAGGGCAGACATGGGAAACACCCGAAAGAGTTGCTTTTCAAGCCTTGAGAAAGGGTCTGAAGCTGCCATCTTATTATTGCAACCATGCTTGTATTTAGCAACTTCACTTACCTTTTCATGGTTACTACTGACTTTCTCTAGCAGCTGCAGAATCTCAATATAAGTGACTTCTGCCATAGTTTTCACAGTTGGAGTATTTTAAATTACAAGTGACAAGGAAAGAATAGGAGGGAAATGAAGCCCTAATAAATTTATCTCCCCATTGTGTCCTCAGAGCTCAATAACCCACAAGAACACCAGGTTTAATGTTACCAAGCAATGCTCTCAGTTAAAGTGAATTTTCTATTTCCTGGGAACCTGGCTAACTGGCCATTTGTCAGTTCTGAATGAAAGTCCCCCAGCAGGCTGTTTGCCCCTTTGTGCCCTCATAAATCTTAGGAAGGTTTTATATCCTTAGCTGCTTGTCACTTTGGAACTATTTAGAGATCTGAGATTCTCAGTCGCAGGTTCCAATTGAATTTGGCTTAGGCATTGCCAGTCTCCATTGGAGACACTTTTGCCATTATTAATACTGTCAAAGACTCAGAGATGAATTATTGTAATATTTCCCCAAAGGCCAGATAATATGCTACGGGTGCAACAGAGTTCTTTAGTCTAAGAATAAGCTATGTTCTGGCATTTCCCACTCCAGCAAAACTCTGAGAATGGAACTTAGAATATAAGTACTCTTATTGAGATGTTTATTGAAACTTGAAATACAGAAGAAAATACTCTTATTTCAAGAAATAAGATGTGGTCATTGATGAAAACCTGATGTCTAACAAACCCTGGATAATGCTAAGAAATGGTCAGAAATAAAAATGTACCTCTTGCTAGCAACTCTCTCTCTCTCCCCCTCCCTCTCCCCCCTCTCTCTTTCTCTCTCTAATTTGTAAGAAACAGTTTAAGGGGGCGTGGCAGTTCTTCCCTACAATGTTAGAACTCCACTTGAAATACAGCAATCATCTTCAAAGCTGGCAATATCTTGAGTAGAAGTGGGGTAAGGCACTTCATAATAAAAATATCTGCGTAAATACAATGGATGCGAAACTTTCTCATCCGAAAAAGAAGCAAGAAAGACTTCCTCTTAGAAAGTCTCTACTTTCCAGCAATGGTCTGATGGCTCAGGTGTTGACAGAGAGTGTCTGGGAAGGCTATTCAGAGGGTGTGATGGGGCAGCTAACTCCGTGTTCTTTCTGTGGGTGTCTCTTCAGTTTGGTTGGGCAGTGCCAGTGTTGGATGGCCTGAAAAGAGCAAGTTTTACACACACACACACACACACACACGTCTTTTTGATATTTTTAAGGAATCTAGCCAATTCCTAAAAGAAGCGGAATATTCTGGCCTTTAATTAATGCCTTCACATGATTCCCCCAGGAGCTCCCTTTCTGTTCAAAGACCAGTCAAAAAGAACCATTAAAATCTATACTTGAACTTATTTGCACGCACGGCTAGTTGACCAGCCAGAGAATTGGCGTCGTGCCTGGGCCAGGTCGGTGGAACGGGCCCGGGGTGCGCCCTGGGCGCAGAGCCCCGCGCTCCTCCAGCGCCTGGCAGGGCTCGGGCTGCCCCTGGAGTGCCGACCCGGGGTCGGTTGCTCTCGCCTGCCCTCCCTCGCCCTTGGAGGCCCCGCATCCTTGCGGAGGGACCTGACCGGGACAGGAGGCAGAGTTCCAGTTGGCCTCCGCGCCTCGGGCAGGACACGGTCGCCAGCCCTCCCCCGCCCCGGGGCTGCCCTGCCCACCTGAGGCTCCACATGTAGCTGTGCTTGTAGGGGAAGTAGCTGCCCGGCTCGCTGCAGCAGTACTTGAGGTCGGCGAAGCCGCAGCAGTAGAGCAGCGCCGCGCCCTCGCCGCGCCGGGGGCACTGGAAGGGCTCCACGAAGCTGTGGTTCACGCTGAAGTAGCCGGAGCACAGCCGGCTGCTCTCGCCCATGGCCGGCGGCTCTCTGAGGGGGGTCCCCTCCCACCCCGGCACCCCTGGATGCGTCCGCGCCGCACCCCCAGCGCCCCTGGGTCCCTCCGTCCCGCTCGCCACCACCCGCCCCCTTCCACCTCTGCGATCCGGGATCTGGCGGTCCGGGCGCTCAGCCTCCGCGCGCGCCCCTCGGCTCGCTCCCCGTCCCCCCGCGGTGCCCGCACGCCGCGCTCCCGCCTGGCCGCGGGGCTCCCTCCAGGGTGGAGCTGGCACCTGCGTGTCTCTACTTGGTCTCCAGCTCCCTTCCACTGTATTATCTGCGCTCTGCTGACCCTCACCTCTTCCCCCTCACTCCATCAGTAGTCTAGATGGTTGAACAGGAGCGAGGAAAGGCTGGCCGGGGAGGGAACTGTGTAGGGCTTGCTTTCACATCTGGGCTGATGAAGTCAAAATCTCAATCCTGTTTCTCCAGGGTCTGGGCAGGTCGGTTTGGACACACACACACACACACACACACACACACAGAGCCTTTACTAACACAACACAACACGGGCCACGGACTTCAGCAGTGGGGAGTGGGTTGAATAAAGGCAGCTGAATTGATAGTGTGGTGTTCGTTAGATTGTTTTTTTTTTCCTTTTAAGAAGTTCATCTGACACAATGTGTTAGTTTTGAAGTAGCCAAATTTTCAACACAAATCAGCCACTATGAAAGAATACTACCGCCAGCTTCTGTGCTCATCCAAACAGCATGGAAAAGAAAAGAAAAAGCAACAGATAGAGGTTTGGAACCTTCCAGAAAAGGAGGCAGAACAAATAGAGAGATCTTCGATCAGCTCTGAAGTGCTGCAGTAACTACGTGTTTGCAGTTTCCTAAACTGTTTGTCCAGTCTTTAAAAATAACTATAGTCACAAATGCTTGCTGTGGTAAGTCAAATAATACCTACAAAAAGAAGAAAATAAGCTTGAGGCGAGAGAGTGGGAGACTTTAATGCTTGTAGATTCTGCAAAGTAGGTAGAACAATGTGCCTCCTTCCCTCATTTTCCACTTCCTTCTCTTGGCCAGAGGTTTGATTGAACAGCAGACTTTATCTTGTGTGCTGGATATTTTTGTATTCCTATAAATACTCTTGTGCTCTGGTCTGGGACACAGTCACTTAGAAACAGTTTGATTCATTCAGACTCACTTTAGAGCTTTGTTAGATAGGACTACAGTAGACTTGAGAACTAAAAAATTTTCCCTATTTAACTAAGACCCTGTTGTTCTGAGCACTGTCCTGAATACTTACAAATTACACAACTCACTGTTCTGACTGGTGGAAACACACACTGTTCTCAGTCCTTAAGAACTCTGTTTCCTCTCAGTGTTTCTTTTTCTGGCTTCAAGTACCTTCTTCCCAGGCAAGTACTGAGCAAGCAGTACTCAGTATTGGTGATCTCCTAAAACTAGAACAGGAACTCTAGTCTGGTGCTATGCCCACTACCTCTGGCTTCTGTGGCTTCCTAGCTTCTCAGATCTATTTCCTGTATTCATAGAGACCACTGGGGGCCCTCTCCTCACATTGCAACCTGGAAATTCTGCCCAGTGAACCAGTCTTCATGAAGCTCAAGTCACTTATCTCCATCTGCCTGGGGATTCTATCTTACACTATTGAATATCCTTGTCTACAACCCATGGTATCATAGTATTGTACTTTAGTTATCTCTGGAAAGGGACTAAATCTGGTTCTTGTGATGCCACGGACTTTGCCAAGTTAGGCCAGCAATGGTCTCTTTCATGATCTGGAATTCCACAGGTGGATAAAAAGCCACTTGAAAGAGAAAAGTGAACCAGGGAGGAGTGGAGAAGATGGGCTGATAGAATAAAATTGTTTTGTAATGCTTATCCAAGTTCTTTCCTGAGGACCACTACTTCCCTACCTTTGAGATACCCATTACCTAAGAGCAAACTCTTCTTTTCTGGATAAAGTGCATCTAAGTTGGTGTCTCCTACAGATATGCAACAGAAAATAACGTTTTAGTCAATGTTGGATTGCATATTCACAAGTAGTCCCATAGGATTATATCGGCCAGTGAAATTATAGTGATAGTTTATGTAAGACACTCTATAATATTCACACAACAACAAAGTCACCTAACAATGCATTTCTTAGAACTGGTCCTTAGGGAGTGATGCATGACTGTTCTTGCAATCATAGTGTTCTTATTCAACCAGGACATCTTCAGGCAAAGGGGAGGGGAGGTAGCAATTGAAATGAAACAAATAAGGGGAGAAGTAGGCAGCACAGGTAGACTTTTCTTCCTTTGTACAAAAAGAAAAGAAACTTGAAAATTTAAAAATGGGCATCTTTATTAAGAAAATTTTGGCCTGTGCCAAGGAGCCCTGAAGTTTCTCCTATTCCTTCCTGTGATGTTTTCAGGGTATCTGCTTTGACTTCAAGGTCTTTAATCCATTTGGAATTGATTCTGGTGCAGGGTGATATATGGGGACCCAACTTAATTTTCTACAGGTGTTTAATCAGTTTTACCAGCACCATTTACTGAAGAGGCTGTCTTTCTTCCATTCTATGGTTTTAGCTCCCTTATTAAAGATTAGGTGGCAATAGGTCTATGGGTTCATTTCTGGGTCCTCAGTTCTATTCCATTGGCCCTCAGGTCTGTTCTTGTACCAGTACCAAGCTGCTTTGATTACTATGGCTTTGTAGTAGAGTTTGAAGTTTGGTATTGATATTCCTCCAGCACTGTTCTTTTTGTTGAATGTTTTTGCTATTTGGGATCTTTTATTGTTCCATATGAATTTTTGGATAAACACAACAAATCAAAGAAAGGTTGGACAAATGGGATTGCATGAAACTGCAGAGCTTCTGCATGGCAAAGAACATAGCTATCAAGATCAATAGAAAGTCCATGGATTGGGAGAAGATCTTCACTAGCCATACAACAGACAAAGGTCCCATAACTAAAATATACTTAGAACTCAAAAACTTAAATCCCCCAACAAAAAATCCTCAAAGAAACAACTGCCCAATTAGTAAGTGGGCTGAAGACTTAAAGAGAAACTTCTCTGAAGAGGAAATAAGAATGGCCAATAAACCCATGAAGAAATGCTCAACTTCTCTGGCCATAAAAGAAATGCAAATCAAAACAACATTGAGATACCACCTCACCCCAGTTAGAATGGCTATAATCAAGAAATCTAATAACAGATGCTGGGGGGGGGGGATACGCCAAGAAGGGAACCTACTGCATTGTTGGTGGGAGTGTAATCTTGTTCAACCACTTTGGAAAGTAGTATGGAGGTTCCTCAAAAGACTACTCCCCTATGAGCCAGCAATCACACTTTTAGGCATTTACCCAAATGATCACAAACAAGGCCATACTAAAGCTACCAGCACAACTATGTTTATCGCAGCATTAAATTCACCATAGCTAAGAAATGGAGCCAACCCAGATGCCTCTCAGTAGATGAATGGGTCAAGAAAATGTGGTATATATACACAATGGAATTCTATGCCTCCATCAAAAAGAATGATATTGTCCCATTTGTTAGGAAATGACTTGGAGAAAATTATATTAAGTGAAGTAAGCCAGGCCCAAAGAAACATAGGTCACATGGTTTCCCTTATCTGCAATAACTAGTATATGTCTATGACAAGCAGAAGAGGTCAAAAGCTATGTACATATGACTATATAACGTGATGCTAAGTGAAATGAACTCCAAGAATAGGAACACAAGAGGTTTTATCTTTGTTGCTGTTCTTTTTATTGTACTTATAATGTACTATGTGATTTTTTTTGTGTCTTTGTATGTTCTTCCCCCATGGTACAACAAGTGTTGTCACTGTGTTTGATTCTGGTGTCCTGCATCCATACATTTTTCTAATTTGGGGAAGGGAAGGGAAATAACAAAATGCTGACATAAGGCTATAGGATGACCCATTGTAATAATGAGATGTACAAGACAGTATGTTGAAAACGAACTTTATAACTTTGTGGTGGTGAGGGAGAGGAGGGAGTAACCGGGGAAGTGGGGAGGAAAGGGATGGTTGGGTAAAAAGAAAGGAGGGGGTAACAATGCTCAATAAGAAATGTACTCATTGCCTTGCTCATGTAACTGTAACCCCTCTGTACAGTATCTTTACAATAAAAATATATATTAAGATAAAAGGCAGATGTGCTTCTGGGAAATATTGGTTGTGCTCATATAAAAGTCTTCTGTAGCACATGAGGCAAAGTACAATTTGAGTACTTAGTGAGCATGGGAAAGATTGAAAGAGAACGCTATGGGACCAGAGCTGAGTATCACAAAGATAGAGAGCTTAATTCAGTTTTAGTTAGAAGCCACAGCTTCAGGAAGAATTTCTCTAACAATGAATGTCCAACCTTCTAGATGTAAGAGTGGAGGGACTTCCCAGGATCTGTAACAATCATAATAGTATTCAGCCCATTCAATCTCCAAATACACAAAAACAAACAGCGGGTGAAACCCCACCACAAAGATAGCTTCATGAAATCCAAATACTATAATAAAATACTCAATGAAATTTTAAATTGGAAGAGGGGGTGTTCAAGAGAGGTTGAGGGAAGATAACAGAGGGGGGTAACTTACTGAAAGTATACCATGCACACCTATCTAATTATCACAATGTAACTCCCTTGTTCTGTTAGAGCATAATAATAAAAATTAAAAAAGAACACACAAAAAGTCAGGTCCATAGCTGCCACACTTTGCCAAGCATGGACTACCTACAGCACACTGAAGTTCAAGTCAAAAGGGAACTTTTGACACACAAGGCTAAAGGGTAGTATAAAGGCCATGGCTTAGAACCAGTGCAGAAGTTGCTTACTGAGGCCTTGACTTTGCCTGCTTTGTGATTTGAGATCTCTACCTCTTCTGATAAGAATTCAGACAAGGAGTAGGGTACAGGTGGTCCAACAACAAAAGACAGTCACAAATTACATCTTTTATTTTTGCCTCTTCTTGTATCCCAATGATTCTCAACAAAGGAGGTGCTCTAC